ATTAGAACTTGGTATTCATCTATATTTTCTCGACTTAATTGATCAAAATTTTCTATTAGTAAAGCTAATTCTTCATTCATCTTTATTTTCTTCTTGAATTTCTTCTACAATTTTTCCTTTTTTTAGTAGTTTTTTGAAATTTTCTTCTTCTTCTTCTAATATTTTTGGTAAAATATTTTTTCTGAAATCATCATCCATATTTTCTTCTTCTATTACTAGGTTTTCTTGTTCTTTATGTTTCTTTCCAATTTTTGACATCTCTTTTTTTATAAGCTTTTTTTATCCATTTTCTTTTCTTTACACTTATTGTTTTCTTTCAATTTCCCAATTTCAATTTTTAATATATTTATTTCTTCTCTCATTTCATTTCTTAGATTTTGTGCATCAATTATTAATATTTTTATTGATACTTTTAATTCTTCCATATGATTGTTCATTATCTTTTCTTTGATTGCTTAAAATAATATATTCTACATTCAATATCTTTACAATCTTTTATAATTCTATCATACTTTTGTTTCGTAAGTTCATTATCTGTTAATCTGTTTAATTCATTAAAATAATTTGCTCTCTCATTATGTTTTTCTTGTTTTAATTTTAATATATGATTTTCTTGGTATTTTGTTAATTTTTTAGGAACTAATTCATCATCAGGAATTAACATTTCATCTAAAATTTGATGATTTATTATTTTTATTCTTTCTTGTCTTTTAATCAAATTATTTTTTATTTTTTCCATTTGTAGTTAAGAATTGGCTAATGATAGTTCTTGTATTTTTTCTTTACAGTGTATCATAATTTCTCCTTTTTCAAATTCTGTACTAATTTTTTCGTACATGTATTCATTCATTATAGATCCTATTATTAATTTATCTAATATCCGTTCTCTTATTTCTCTAGGTAATTCTTTGATTATAATTAGCCCCTGTTTGGTATCCATTTTTTTCTCATTCTCATTCTCATTCTCATTTTTTTCTCTTTCTTCATTTCAACCACACATTCCATCAATAAAATAATATTATACATAAACCTAAAAATTCTCCTTACTTTTTAAACACACGTTCTTCCATCAATCACTATTCAAAAACACATTTTTCTACTAAAATGTTATCATTTTTAATTTTTTAGGAAATGGTTCAGTTATATAATTTCCTTGCTCATCTTCTAACATATAATACCAGTCTGTTTTGGTAATTGTTACTTTTTTAGTCATATTTTCTTATTTCTTTTT